TAAACGCGATTGGCCTGGGCCTTTCGGTCAAATGAGCTTACAGGTTACTCTCTGGGAACCTCATTCTCATTACGCAAGGCAAAATATCAAAGAGAACGATCTTGTCTTACTTCAAAATGTCAACGTGAAAATTGGAAGAATGAGTGGTGCAATGGAGGGAAGCCTTCACACAGATCGTCATTACCCTGAGAAAGTGCGAGTGATACCAATCAACGACAATGATTCCGAGGATGATGTAAAACAGCTCGTGAGGCGAAAGCTGGAGTACTGGAAGAGGATTAGGGCTGAGAAGTCTAAGCTGGAGGGCAAAAACTTCAAAAAACGAAAAGCATCCGATAACAATGAACAACCACAACAGATGGGCAAAATGTCCCGGAAACAACTGGCCCAGCAGAAAAGAAGGGAACAGGAGAAACTCGATAAAGAAAGCAGACGGGAAGATGATCAACCAGAAATTGAAATATCCTTCCAGGCGAAACGTGATCAGCTAAATCCTTATAGTATGTTCCTAGATATAGAACCCTCAAAATATCATATTCACCTACTATATTCATTGAAAACAAAAGAATAAAACGAACAACACTAATAAAAATCTCCAGTTCGTGCAAATAACCCCGCAATCCCCTGCCGCTCTATATCTGACATACTCTTCAACGAGTCTCATACAAACGTCTCCCCAGACGGGATCGAATACCGCCTCCCCTTCCAAAACCTCCGTTACAAAGTTTCTGTCCGAGTTGTCGATTTCTTTCCTCCCAAATTAGAAGATTTTGCCGTCCAGTATGACGCCCACCGTGCCGTGCTATCAGATACCGATGGTAGCATGGTGAGTGACAGTGATAAGGAAATAAACAGCGACTCCGCAAGAATATCCCGTCGCAAGAGATGGGAATGGAGATTTTGCCTCCTTGTCGAGGATGCCGGCCCCGGCATGCACTATAACCGCAACGCTAAGAGAGAGCGTATGAAGCTCTTTGTGACGGGCCACGATGCTGAATGTTTGCTATGTCTTGATCCTGTGAAGTAATAGATTAACTCCTTTCTCTTCCAAACCCCCCAAACTCCCCCTTTTATGACCATTAAAGCAAAACACGCCAACCACACATGCAACAATTTCAAGTCCATAATGCTTACTTTAAATTTAACATAACAGTCTCCGCAAAAACCCTGGAGCCCTCTCCGACCTCCGCGAGAAGCTCTTTATTCTTTGGGGCGACCTTGAGGAGCGCAAGAGCGCCAGTAATGCTACAGATATCAACGCTAATGTCAATCCCAACGTTAACAATACCGATACCGATAAGCAAGTCAGCGCATCGACGAAGCCGTTCATTTGTTGCATTAAGGAATTTGGCGTCAGGAACTCGCCAGCAGTTACGAGTTCGGTAGATGAAGAGATGGAAGTGGACGACGGGAATGGGTCTGAGAGTGGGTCCGGGTCCGCTTTTGGGTGGGAGAGGCGGTTCCGTATGTTTGGAACGACAATAATGTAATAGGCAATGTACTTTAAAACGTGGATGCTAAATTTATTTCATTTTTTCTTTCTCTCGCTTTGCTTATCTTCTATGGATTTGTGTTAAAGACGCACAGACGATCTACAATTGTAAATTTCTCTACTGAGATTCATGTTTTGTTCAATTTGTTTTTCAATAATGCTGGCGCCTCCGGGAGAAATATATATGTAGGAGATTGGGGAGACTTGGTGAGCAGGCAGTCAAGGATAACCGTTTCTTTAATAATGAGGAAAGCTATATGGAAAGTTAGACTTGCATGAAGTATGAAGCATTTCCTAGGTAAATGGAGAAGAGAAATTCCCATTGTGACATGGTTTTCAACCTCCCACCCTTTTCCCGTTGCGCTATTTCGCGTCAAAACATGTCCATTAAAGCCCTATCCTCTGGCCTCTGAGAAGTGCATTGTTATTATTATCGTATGCTACATCAAGAAAACTTAAAACTAGAGAATGGAAGATGGCTGTGTTTGGCAGCAGATGATTAAAATTTGGTATACAAGAGTTAGCCCTTCTCAACCCTTTCATTACTTTGACAAGAAGTAAGTAATAAAAAATGCCCCTTTGACCTATCCACCTATCCGCCTATTCCATTCCTTTCATTCATTTCACCATTGAAAATGATATATTGTTTGATTCTTGAAAATAGCAAAAGAAAGAAGAGTGGAGGACGAAACTGGGCCACGCAGTGCAAGGGAAATGATGGAGGATATGAAAATGAAGTTAAAAACAAAACATTAGATATAAATGAATGGCAGCATGACAGGGAAGGGTATAGGCATGATCATTGGCAAGAGACTGTAGGTGTGTGTGTGCGCCTGGCCATGTATGTGCATAGATGGTTGCATTTCACTGAAAATCCAGAGGATTAAAATGTGGATGGAGCAAAACTTGGGAAAGCCTCTATGGGGAGAACAAAAAATCAAATCAAAACTTCCTTATCTAGACTAGATGCGCGTAGATCCATTATATTTTTCCCTTCACAAAACAAATAAGGAAAAGGTAAGATTATACCTTGGTGACCTTCACAATTTTAGTATCAATTCCATGAGCAGCGGTGTCGAATCTACAATTAGAGCCCCAGAAGCAATCCTTCTTGCCCACCTCACTCTGTGGGCAGCGGTGACCATATATACAGCCGGGATCATCGCATTCAGTGCCGAACCGACAAGGTGTCATCCGCGCGACGGCATGCAAAACCATGCGCTCATTCTTGGTCAATTTATGATCGTGTGTATGATAACAGCTTAAGTTCGGGCAGTCACCGAGCAAATAATATAGGTTGCATAATTTTAGCTTCTTCACGCGGTTTAATTCATCCTTGGGGATGGATTTGAAATCCAGGCGGTCGACGCGTTGGCCGTATTTATTGCGCTCGACCTTGGGTGGCGAAGGGCTGCTTGGCTTTGAGGTTGTTAAATCCGTGAACGGACCCTGGGCTCCTGCTGCTGTTGTGGCAGCCCATGTGGATGGTGTGGTGGCTCTATTTAACGGGATTGTCGAGTTGGATGGAACGCGAGCAAGGTTGCTGCTAACGGGTGCATTTGAAGATAGGGCCGTCAGGGGTGCAGATGAAGGTGCAGCATTGGATGAATTATTCGCCGCGTTCCGGTCATTCCATAAATGCAAATTCGTGATTATCTTCGAGGTCCGGAAAAGCTCTTCAAATTTAGTTACTCTGTAAGAAGCTTTTATAAGCGCTAACTCCCGCTCGAATGGGATGCCTTCAATTAAAGATATCCGTCCGATAAGTTCTCGATCCGCTAAAGTATCTTCAAGAAGCCTCGCATAGCCGTTATCATGAGAACAGCCCAGGAATATTTGGTGACAGTGACAGTTGTATAAATGGAGCTTAAAAACCTCTATAAGAAATTTCGAGAAATTCATGAAATTAGTATCGTCAGCTCAGGCGAACAGCGTGCATATTGGCTAGAACTGTGCCGGCTAGATAGAAATCACCACCGAGGCAGGGGATGGATAGATGAGAAAATAAGGAGAAGTCGTCAGAGGAGAACACACCAGAGATCTTATCATCAGCTCTATCTTTACCGCTTCCCACATCCACAAAATCAAACAACAGTCTACTACCATTGAATCCGCGAGTAAATTCTTCAACCAGGCCAGGGCGCTCAATAATGCCAGCTTTATAGCACGCATCAGCCAGCCCCTTGACATTTGCATATACTCTTGCTATAATTTTTGGAGACGGTATATTGGGAAGATTTCGCGAGGCATATTCACGGATCGAAGCCCAAAACTGGTTTGCAGCATCCTTACCGCCCTGTTCACCCTGTTGCAGAAAGGAATCTTGAAATATCATACCATCGCCGTCCAGCAAAATAAGGAGAAAAGGTTCTTGTTCCTATTGCGTCGATAAAAGGGGGTAATGTTAGAACTATTGGGGCACACATGTATCAGATGACGTAAAACATACCATCAAAGCTTCCATGGCAGTTATCTGTTTCATTAACTCCATTTCATGCATTTGCACTTCACGGTTAAAGCGAGATTCACGTTCATGGTCAAGTCGGGTTTGTTGATATGCATTTTCGAGCTCAGCAACCCGTCTGAGAAGATCCTGTTGACCGCTATAAGAAAGCACACCAAAACGAGAGATGGAGAGAGCTGAGCAACCTCAATTAGCTCATTTCTTGACTGTTCAACCGCTTTAACCCGCTCATAACGCTGAAGGAACTCATGGGCGGTAGATGCGGCCATTTTATCGGCTCCGTAAAAGTGCGATTTAGCGCGCAGATGACGGTATTCAACGTCTTCAGCGTCTTCAACACTGTCAACGGGATTAACAGGACAAAAATACAAACTAACAATAATAATGATAATAAAATTGGGGATGAGAGGACGCATTTACACAGAGAGAAATAATTGAACAGCAGGTGACCCAGCTATGAGATACCTATGGGTATTATCCAACACACGCAGTTCCAACAGCTCCTAATTATATGAATTTATATCGGCAATTCATCCGCGGTTAAATACACGCGCGTCAGGCGTCAGCGGCAGAATACGCTGCTCAGTCAGCCTGGTACCGCTCTTGCTTTGTGTACGTGGAAATTAAGCTCGGAGATTCTCCTTAACCTCGAAGGATACAACTTTCGTTGAACCTTCGCATTTCAATTCTCCTTTCGTTTTTCTCTTCCTCCTCCTTCCCCCCTTTCCAACCTTCTCTACATGTCCGGGGAACTCGCCACAGCGAATATGGGCAAGTTCCGGCTGTTATCTGTTGCTCTGCTTTCGTTGCAAACTCTGCTTGTTCGCGGAGAGAATCCTGTGTGTACTCTCCATCTATCTGCGTTGTCGACAACTGCTAATATGAACCTCCGATTTACAAGTCTGCTGAGCCTGCTACTGAGGAATCTAAAATCCCAACATTGGCCGTTACGGCCTCAGCCACCTTTCCCAATTCCGAGATTTTTGGAGTCAAACTTGTGAACGGCAACCCAACACAAGCCCTGCTGTCCATCACCAACGAAGAACCTAATCCAGTAACTTTGAACCTGGTTGGAGGCACCCTGTCAACGCTTGATGCTCCAGGAAAAGCAAGTCGTAATGCCCGCAACCTTACCGTGTCCCGCTTCGACATCGAAATTCCTAGTGGGAAACAGCACACCTTGGGGTATGCTTTCGTCACGGAGATGCACCCTCAGGAATTGAGGTTGAACCTTGCCGCTATTATCTCAAATTCCGAGGGCAAATCATTTACAGTCGAGGTCTATAACGGCACTGTTAGCATCGTTGAACCAGAAACAAGCATCTTCGATCCCAAAGTGTGAGTCATGCGCAGCCACATTAGTTCTGCTCCTGTCCAAAACTAAAACTGTATGCCATCTAGTCTCTTCCTATATTTCTTCCTCTTGGCCTCCTTTGTAGGAGTTGTCTACTTTTTCTACAACATCTGGATCGCCCCCTACTTCCCTCAGAAGCGCAAGGGTGGAGACAAAGTAAAGAAGTCCTCCGGGCAGCCGAAGACTGAGACCGAGCAAGCTTCCGTTACTGGAGCTGAAAGATCAGGTGCCACTTCAGGAAAAGCCTATGACACCGAATGGATCCCCGCGCACCATATCCACCGACCCGAGCCGCGGAAAGTGAAGAGTGGAGGCCGAACGAAATCCAAAGCCTAATACGATTTAAAACAGAACTTCGACCTGACATGTTACGTCATCTTGGATGATATATTATGCGACTGCTAGGGATTTGTTGACAGCTGATATTTTTCTTCGGAGTCAGGTTGCAAAATAGGCGATGTATGCGGGACGCAAAGCCATGCTCAAAATTTATAATAATGCGCTACGGTAGGGATGTATTACGGAAAAGGGTCCGTAGGAGATTTGGTAGCTCTCCGGAATGTGGCTTTTTATCGGTTCATATCCTCTTTTCCTGGTTCGCATTTTAAATTTAATTTTGTATTACTTACCAAATATTATACACTCGTCACTAAACCCATACCAAAAGCAAAGGAATTTATTTGTTATATATGGTCTAATATTTCCGTACTGATTCAAAACATACGCGTTTACCAATTCGTTCCCTGCATTCACAATTCCATTAATATTGGTCGGTGGATAGCTACTCCAAACATCACCATCCAGCATAAAAACCATCGCGGTGAACTTTTATAAAATATATCAACATCATAAATAAACGTCAATACCCTTTATGTTGGATTTCAGAGGTACGACGCTCAAACGTGCATCAAAGCGTCCTCCAATCCAAAAACTCCTCCTCCAAATGGTCTTTTAACTGCTTAAACTTGTTCCCAAACATCCTCCCACACCTCCAACACTTGATATCCCACCTCAAATATCCCTCTTTCCCAGGGTTCCTCCTGACATCATCCTTGGTTAACGGAAAATCCTGGACATCGATGAAAAAGGGTGTCGAAAAGCTATTATAATGTCGCCGGTGTTTCAGACAAGAACTAAACCTATCTACAGCCAGGACATGTATATGCAAATGATTCATAGA